AACAGGTGATGTAAAAGACTTGCCAAGGTCGGGCCGTGTACAAATTCAGTTAACTCAAGAACACCAGCCTAGTGACCTTGAAAGTCTCCAATAATACAGTCACGCAATATTTCAGCCTAATACCCAAAATAACTATTTTTACCGACAACTGATAATGAGCGATGAAGCCCACTTCGATATGAACGGATTTGTTAATAAGCAGAATTGTCGTATCTGGGAATTAGAAAACCCTCGTGTTATCCATCAACGACCACTACATCCTCGTCGAGTCACATTTTGGTGCGATGTTTGGTATGGAGGTGTCATTGGATCTTATTTCTTTGAAGACGCTGCATGTAAAACTTTCTGACTCCTCAAATCCAACAATTTAACCTGCAAAACATGTGGTTCCAGCAGCATCTATTGCGAACAATATTTTCGGGACGTTCAATTTCTCGATTTGGTGATGTCAACTGGCCACCAAGGTTATCGGATTTAACGGCTCCTGACTTTTTTATGAGGATTTTTTTAAAGTAGGGTTTATACGAACAAATAAAATATTGCAGTTGAAGAACAGTATTACGGAAGCGGTTGAAAATATTCCTCCCGAAACCTACCAAAAAGTGATGGAAAAGAAAATCAAAAGGGCTCAGGTTTGCGCAGCTTCTAGAGGCGGACATTTGTCTAATATTATTTTTCATACACAAATATTCAAGATACAAACCAGTCAGCTACATATCGGCCACCCATATACTGATCTACTGGGACCAAAATTTGCAAATTTTACCACTAAGAAGGTATGTTTGACGTACTGTTGTCCATTTCTTTTAAAGTACCTCTAATCCCAAACTAGCGATTTGGATATCAAGAAATTCTTCATGAATCACCTGCCTTAGCTACGAAAAACCTATTTTTAGATTTGATCTCAGGACTTCAATTTGCCAGTAAACAAGTAACATATCCACGTTGTAGATAAAATAACCCAATTTAAAACAATCATAAGTATCTGAAAAATTAGAAAAAAATGATGTTGGTTATTCATTAGGTGGATATTTCTGTAATTCCATAATCAACTTTCACTATGAACAAGTTTTCCTCTTTCTGGGTGTGTGAAAGATCGGTCAAACGATATCGTTGATTTTTGTCATTGCAGTAAAAAATTTTACTCAATAAGTTTTTTGCAGACATAAATTAAATTACAGAATGCCTATTCTTTAATATATGTCGGGTAAATATTCAATTTACTGGATTTCCGTGAAAAATAATCTTCCTTTAGAACTGTTAAATAATCGCCGTACCGCCCTGTCATCTGTATTCAAGAGGCTGTAGCAATGGAGATCAGACTGTTGCAGTGCTGACAGATCTACCGGCCTTCGTTCAGCAATTTGACGTGGAAGCATTCAACCGCTGTTAAAACGTTCTCTAATTTTTAATATAGTGGAGATTTTTCCCTGTTGTCCTTTTCTTCAAAGAAGCACACATATGCTACATCTATACTGAAATACCTTTATTGTTCATATTTCTCTTTGCATAAATATCGCCCTGACACAGCCAGTGGCTAGCCAAACATAACGGGAAATAGTGACATGTTGATAAATTATTATATACTAAGTGACATATAAATCCGAACACCCAGTTTAAATGGTTTTATTTTAATAAAAGTTGGTGAATGTATTTATCTTACTGTAAATAACAAGTGAAAAAAATTTCAGCCTTATCAGTTGGACATTCCGGTTTTTATACTGTTTTTTTTTTAATTCATTAATGCTCTAAAAATGAATATTTCAGCCGCAGTAAAGAATCAACGTTGGCGGATTTTGGTTCTTGACATGCTTTACGGTCAGTTACGATGCCTAGAGTACGGAGACCTGTACGATTTCGGCAACTTAGTGAGTTTGATAGGGGCCGTATAGTGGGACTTCGGGAAGCTGGACGAGAAGGCCGTACGCAAAGAGCAAGGGGCACTGAACGCCGCCGTAGAACAACAGACCGTGAAGATCGCCGCCTAAGATTATTGGCCTTAAGGGACCGTTTCTCCACTACCAGGTCCATTGCAAATGAATGGTTTGCAGAACACGGAAGACCTATCGGCATGCGAAGTGTTTACCGACGAATGAGAAGTTATGGCTTGTTTTCATACCGGCCACACTGGGTCCTCCCTTTAACTCGAGAACACCGACGTAATCGCCTTGAGTGGAGCAGAAAACGGTCACTCTGTGATCAGGAATGGAACAGTATTGTCTTTAGTGACGAGTCTCGATTTTGTTTAGGCATGCACGATGGCAGATCCTACTTTCCAACAAGATAATGCCCGACCACATGTTGCAAGAGTCACAATAGACTTCTTTCAACATAATGATGTCACATTGTTACCATGGCCACCAAGATCTCCCGACTTATCCCCAATTGAGCACGTGTGGGATATGATGGGTAGGAGATTGCTCAATTTGTAACGTCCTCCTCAGACTCTAGAAGCACTTCGAGAGGAGTTGGTGGTTGCCTGGAATGAGATACCACAGGAGGACATTGACCACCTGATCAGAAGCATGCCTAGGCGCGTTGGAGAATGCGTAGCACATCCGGGTGCATCCACACATTATTAAAGGTCAAAGGGCTTTAAAGCAGTGCAATCATTTTGAAATTTTTATCATTTACTTATTATGCTTCATTAAGTACTTATACAAAATTTTATTAAAATAAAACCATTTAAACTGGGTGTTCGGATTTATATGTCACCTAGTATAAATATCCGTTTTACCCAAAATTACCTCTTTGAGGCAAGTAGTAACACTGTTATTCTCAATAAAATGCTCAGATCAACCTATTGTTATCAGATTTGATGCTTGATTTGAGAAGTGAATGAAGGTTACTTTTTAATTGATCGAATTTGCTTCCTAGGTGCAAACGGTTCTGATATGAAATGAAAAAATAGGTTTTTGTAACTGAATTACGGGTATGAAGAATTTCCTGATTGTGATCATATTCATAAGATCCGTTACTTTGAAAACAATTTTTTATCAGTCTCCTTCATACGAGTACGTACAAATGGCTATAGAATGTCGCTGTTGTAGAGAAATAGGTGGAAACAAAACAAACTGTATACAAGTTTGTGAATGCGACTACCTTTGCGTTTTACACACGGCCAGCCAGCAAATAGCGCCAATGAAGCTATTGGTTTTATTTGCTGAGGTATACGCATACCAGCTTGGAATACAGATGCAGTAAAATCAACGTCTTATTTCGATAGGATCGAAGAGTATTTATCACCCTGGTGCACGGTCGCATACGTTGAAACCCAGGTTTTAATTTTCAGATCGGATGCTATACTGTACAGTCAGACTGACTTTCACCGAGGCAAATAGCATTGATTTGGAATCTCAAAATTGTATATAAGGTATAATCAAAAGATGTAGGAGACTTTCATTTTTTTTACCTGCTCTTCGAATCTGCAGATTACAGACAGCTCTAGTTTAGAATGCAAAACTTCAAACCCCTCGTTATAATTTTCTAGAAATTTTCAAATACCTACAATTCGTGTTCTATGAGAATAGTATACCCATTCTAGCTGAAGGTAATATGTTGAGTTGTTTACGTAAATTTAGAAACTTTTCCGTATGACTTTTCCTGATATAAAAGTTATTTTCAAAACGGAGCAATATTTAGACACTTACCTAAGGGCCAAATATTTTGAAAATAGTGTATAGTAGTGAGATCCAAAAATTGCGACTCATCGAAGAATTAAGGCTACTTTCACTAACACTCAGCGGCTAAAACAAAGCACTCCTTAGAGTATGACGTTGCTTAGCTTTGAACGAACTAACAGTTACTGGAAATAAAAAGAGGTTGCTGAGCTAATACTTGCCTTGGATATCCCAATTATACTGCATGATATATTTCAAAAAATAAAGGCTTAAAGATAGGCTTCGGGCTCAAAGGGTCGTTTGGTATGACTTTGATCGAAACCTCAACTAATTGAGCAGTGGTGAAGTCAATCGTACTTACATCTTGGAAGGTGCTTAGGAACCTCAGAATTACCATTGAAGAAAAATTACACAAACTTTACCTTATATGAAAACTCAATCAAGCCAAGCTCTTGGGTGAATCTGGCCCCGACAGTTCAATTTTCTCCCCTAATCAGGACGACGCTAGCATTTTTATTTTGATTTTCAACACCAGCGTCACAAATAACCGCGGCGTACCAAGTTTCGTTAGTTTCCAGCGACAGGTTACGAGGAAAAAATTGCATCCAGGAATTTTAAACTTTAAAGAGGGATTTAAAAAATTCTAGCGTTTTTTGCGCTCTCGGTCAATACATTTGGGCAAACAGGGTGCAGGGGTAGTGAGTCTGATGTCAGTTTTTCACTGAGACTCGAAAATCCGTCCTGAAAAGGGCTCTACGGCACCTTAGCATCTCTTGATGGCGACATCCGAAATTAACGTCAAAAATTACAACAGTACACTGAGTTTCGTCCGTTTGTATTTAAAGGTTATGAAAATGGAAATTTTGCATTGGGAAACCGCAAGGTTTGATGGCATACCAATGAAGAAGAATTTTAAAAACCTTAGCATACTTTGCAATCTGAAGTCTAGATCAAAACCTGCATAAATCGGATGCGTGAATAACGAGTCTGTCACTTGTTTCCCTGACACCGTCGGTAGGTGCCAAGGGTCCCATTTTTTGACTTAAAACACGGTTTCACGATACTTTAACTTCTTTTGATGTCAGTATTCGAAAACAGTGTTCGCTTGTAACTACAGGTCATGAAAATGGAAACTTTGCACCGAGGAACTCTGAAACATAAGAACACCACGGCCAACACGTCTTCGTGCTGGTAACAATACAATTCACCACTGTCTATATGCGCCAAGAGGTAGGAGTCCATCTTCGCTTCGATCTTATTTCACTTCAGCACCTTTCAGATGGATAAAAACCATACGCATTACTTTACTCCATCTGGTTTATTACTCCATACATATAAGCGACATCGCTAACAACGATACAATGCAAAAAATTACTCTACCTTCCTTCCGGCCTTGTTATTATGCAGATTCATCAAACTCCTCTCGTCCGCCTCGATCTCCCTAGCGTCTAGGAACTTCCTGGCGAACCTGACCCCGTATCCCACGTCGACGCTACATCCCGCCCATTTCCACCCGTGCTGCATCGGCGGCGGCGTACCAAACCTGCTACCCCTATGCCCCGCCCCTACGGGCACCGCCCCTACAGCGGAAGTGGGCTCGCAACCGCAGGCGGAGACGTTGCCGCGCGCGCAGGCGGCGGCGACTGCGTACGCGACGCCGGCGCTAGCGATCGCATAGGTGAACGCTGCCTCACGTGAGCCTATGAAAGAGATAGAGATACTAATTAATTTTACAGATAGGTACACAGATAATTATAGAACTAACACTAGTACGATAATCGTTATAGCTATGTATCTATGGCGATGCGGGAGTTTATGGTCTGCGGAGGGAATTGGAACCCGAGGAGGGATGAACTCTAAAGCTATGTACAGATAAAAACACCGCGAACCGAACCACGCGACGAATCATGCCGCGCTAATGTAGACGGTGAAAAAAACGCCGTCGCGAACCTGATAAGCGTTACAGTTTGCCGTTCGGCCCGATCCAGATGACGATGACGTCATTTTGTTGCGCGATGTGGTTGCACGACGTGGTTCGGCTTGTGGTGATGCTCGTTGCAATGTTGTTCGTCAAAATGCGCGCTGCGGTTCGTCGTGATCCAATTTTGATGTGAAAGATATCATTTTTTTTTAATTTATTGTAATTCAGGGTATGTTTTGCATCCCAGAACAATTCCGCTGCTCTGTAATGCTCTATAAGCAAAAGAGTTTTCTCCTCCGGCCATTCCTTCTTTTCTTCACGGGTTCTATCCATTTACTCATATGAGCGCGTGCTCGCCGCACCGATTTCCCTGTCCCGGCGAGCTGTAACGCTTGTCAGGTTCGCGACGGCGTTTTTTTTCGCCGTCTACACTAGCGCGGCGCGGCTCGTCGCGTGGTTCGGTTCGCGGTGTTGTTACATATCTGTACATAGTTTTAAAGTGTTATCTGCGACCGGTTACAAGGTACGCAAGTGAAAAGTAGACACATTTATAAAGATCTATAAGTTATTGGTACAACTGTTTCTGTGGTCAATGAGCACAAGTTAATCTAAAGCTATCCGCCGTTAGCAATCTCAGTTTATTGGCCACGGGCGGAGTCGGAGGGAAGGCCATGCCTTCTGAGAATCCAGTTGGGCCCGAAGATTTGCCACCCTCAGACAGAAGAGTGCAATATATTTCATCAGCCTTGTTTGCCTGAGGAGCGAAATTCTTTGAGGTCTACTGAGGTGAACAGCTGATCAGCAAGTGACATTTTTTTGTTAGTCTGCTACGTTGGCAATAATGAATCGGGTGTAAATCTAGTATAACTTGTTTTGTTTTTTGTATGCAAATGAAATTTTCTGAATAAAAGAGCTGTTAGTAAGAACAAAATGAATCTGTAGCGTACAAAATCCGTCAGAATTATGTATCCTGTGCCGATATGGAGAATGTTGAGATTTTAGTAGATAATTAGCTGTTATTCTAGCGTGATGGATACTCGTGAAATAGGGTCTATATATACTAAGTGACATGTAAATCCGAACACCCAGTTTAAATGGTTTTATTTTAATAAAATTTTGTATAAGTACTTAATGAAGCATAATAAGTAAATGATAAAAATTTCAAAATGATTGCACTGCTTTAAAACCAGTCTCCTAATCTAATCTAATCTCCTACCCATCATATCCCACACGTGCTCAATTGGGGATAAGTCAGGAGATTTTGGTGGCCATGGTAACAATGTGATATCATTATGTTGAAAGAAGTCTATTGTGACTCTTGCAACATGTGGTCGGGCATTATCTTGTTGGAAAGTTGGATCTGCCAGGGTGTCAAGATAGGGTAAAAGATGGGGTTCTAGAACTTCGTGGATATAACGCTGCGCGTTCATGTTACCTCTGATGGAGATTAAAGATGACCTGGAACCATAAGCTATAGCACCCCAAACCATAACTCCAACAGTGTGATGAACATGTCTTTCAACAAAAAACTGTTAATTCCTCCTTTCACCACGTCGCCTTCTAACCCTTACACCGACGTAATTGCCTTGAGTGGTGCAGACAACGGTCACTCTGGGATCAGGAATGGAACAGTATTGTCTTTAGTGACGAGTCTCGATTTTGTTTAGGCATGCACGATGGTCGTGCCAGGGTTAGAAGGCGACGTGGTGAAAGGAGGAATCCACAGTTTTTTGTTGAAAGACATGTTCATCAAACTGTTGGAGTTATGGTTTGGGGTGCTATAGCTTATGGTTCCAGGTCATCTTTAATCTCCATCAGAGGTAACATGAACGCGCAGCGTTATATCCACGAAGTTCTAGAACCCCATCTTTTACCCTATCTTGACACCCTGGCAGATCCAACTTTCCAACAAGATAATGCCCGACCACATGTTGCAAGAGTCACAATAGACTTCTTTCAACATAATGATATCACATTGTTACCATGGCCACCAAAATCTCCTGACTTATCCCCAATTGAGCACGTGTGGGATATGATGGGTAGGAGATTAGATTAGATTAGGAGACTGGTTTTAAAGCAGTGCAATCATTTTGAAATTTTTATCATTTACTTATTATCCTTCATTAAGTACTTATACAAAATTTTATTAAAATAAAACCATTTAAACTGGGTGTTCGGATTTATATGTCACTTAGTATATTTCAGATAGGTACCGTCGTTATTTTGATGAAACCTCTTATCTAACAAAATTTTTCCACATCGGACATTTCTGAATATCTGTATAGTCAAATATGAGCTCCGTGATCTGATGTACAAGAGTTTAATGGTAAGAAAATCTAGCCATTCTGGAGATATTTACTTACAACCGGTATGAATGAAAGCAAAACCAATTTTTTAAATTTAAAGGAGATTTTAAGTCATTTTGTTTTCACTGCTTGTTAGTGTGACTTTATATTCTACAGAGTGTTCGAAAAATCAAGGTGTAGCCTAAAGTGGACGAGAAGACGACTGCGTCGTTTTAAAGGACAAGTTTTACTTCGTACGCCATTGGCGAGAAAGTGTTGTGAATGCCAAAAATTTTGAATATGAGATACTATGTTTCTTGGATGTCGTGACATCTAAATCCCGAAAAACCGTGTCACTTCCATCGGTCTCTCTGTCTGCCTGTCCACTAATCCTTGGCCCGTCTATAACTTGGGAAGTCTCGATCGGGTTTTGATGGAATTGTCACACAAGGTTACTATGTCAAAGGCAAAAAAGCTTTGTGTTTTCAAAAGTCTGTCCAGTGGCGACGGGAAAATAAAAATCACCCAACTTCTCTGTTGGACGATTCAGATGATCCTTAAAAATAAATAGGACATTGGAGGTAGTAGCGCGCGCAACCGGGGGGGTCAAATATTTATATATTTTTTATTGCTAGCACAATTCGAGCGTTTCTAACCCCAGTAATTCTACGCACGTATTAGACATATTTCATATACATTATAGATTTCCACGTCCAGTTACACGAGCGTACATCTGTCTGTTTCAAATTCTGAGTAATAACCAAATGATGACGCGTGCATTCGCGAATGCAATCTCGTTCTGGGTTACCACGTTGCCGGATTGTCGGTATTGTGTGTAGGTCGATACTCTAGATCGCAATGTTGTCAAATCTGTGGTGACTTGTGCAGAATTTAATTCTTTATGAACCGATAACAGCTTTGCTTATGAAGTGTATGCTCAGCCTACTTGACATCATTTCTTACCAAATGTTTGAGCTACTATATCACTAAAATAAAAAGGCTTTATAGTCACTGAACTAACCTCATAAGAGGTTTTCCCAACAGCGAATTTCTGATGGTCCGGAAATCATTTACAGTAGACAAGATCCGTTCAGTGCGTAGCTAGGCAACATCATAGATATAACTAATTTGTTTGGATGAGTATATTTGACAGTCTTTGTTAGTCAGAAATTCCTTGTTGGAAATAACTCAACGTCTTCCGTGTGCTTCATACTTCTTTTTTTTTGCAGGGCCAATGATGCATCTGCATTTGGTATGTGAGTTTCTTTTTGTGTTATTGGTGTGGGGTTTACTATGGTTACTTCTCCGGATCGTGCTCAATCTACTGATTTGATTTCAGTTCTTGTGAATAACGCTATGATTTTACAATCATTTATTTCGCTAGCATTGAACATCAGGTTTTCTGCTTATTAAGCTATCCGTACAAGACTTATAAAATGAACAAAAAGCGTCGAATTACGTACTGGATTCACTTCCCTATTCGCTTGCACCTTAGCCATGCGACAGAAATTAATGAAAGGAGTAGGCGCTGCACAGCGCCATGTAATCCTAGTAGAAACTGTGAATGAACAAAATAACAACGCGCGAAAGCCGAGAAGGTGGTCGCAGTATCAAGATCGATTGAAGCTGACGACGAAGTCTCGGTTTGCAAATGTGGGTGCGTGTACTCGCGCAATTTTTGATAAAGCCTTTTATTTTCACTAGAATTTCTGAAAATTATTTCGTATGTTTTGTAGGATTCTTAGTTTCATTATCACACTCAAATGCCGAGAGCTTTACAATAGGTTCACCAGTTTAAATTCGGCTTCATATTGATATTTTACGTAATCCGGGCTCTTCTTGCCTGGCATATTTGGAATCTCTCGATATGCTTTGTACAATGAGGAGTTGAAAAGTATACAAGTAGAGTAATTTTTAAACTGGTTACTTGCTACGGAGTAAGATAAAGGTCAAGCTTTTTTGGACTACAAACAAGTGTAAAAAATGGCTCGCAAGCCTTATACAGTTCTACGATGCTTCTTGCTGGTCAAAATAGGATTGCCCATTTTTAAATTTCCTTAATTTGTAGGTATTACAAAGATTGTTTGAATAAGAGAAATATGGGATTTTACATGCTTCCAAAATCCTAGGACGATTGTCTCGCCGCTAATTGAAACCACATGTCTTTTACTTATGTTTTGGCCACCACGGTGGCGCTTTTCGGAATATATCTGAAGATAACAATACAGGGTGTCCCGACAAAGATAGAAAGTAGTTTTATGAGCAAACTATAAAAGATATCAAAAATCTGTTTTCTTGGCAACTGTGAAATGTTACTTGTGCATATTTAATAGCTATTTCAATATATACAGTGTGTTCCATAGCTTTGTGCCACAGCGAACATGAACTTTTTTTAAAAATGATGTCCTATATTTTATTGCATAGTTGGGTAAAAATTCTATAAACAAGAAGTTTGATTTTACATCCTATGGCCTCAATTGTCAATTGTTTAGAT